TCTGACGTCATTTCTGTAACACCCCCCCACCCCCTTCCACCCCTCAATTTTTCTAAATCAGTGGCCCAGTACTGCAGTTCAGTTTCAGACAAGTCAGCCACCGGGATAAGAGACTTTACGCCAGGCAACATGCCGGCCCCTTCGATAGCGTCATCAGTCAAACAGTTTCCTCTTCTTGATTCGAAACTGTGCTTTTGGTATCCCAGACCACGCAGGGCTGCAGCTGTCCAGGAGACTCTGCCGCCTGTGGGGTTTCCTTTTTATTGGAATTGAGCAGTCCCTTCCCTTTCCAGTGAGAGCCAGAAGTGTGCGAAACTAAAAAGGCAAGCGTGGAACCCAGGAAAATGTTTGCTTTCTTCCCTGCCGACACTTCCAGGCCCGGCATCAGGGTCAGGAGAAATCTTTCTGTGCTGAAATGCCGCTGTCAACTCTTCTGCCTGGGTAGTTTCTTCTGCTGTTTTCCAGCCATTGCCTGTGGGAAAGTAAGACGAGAGCATCCCCACGGGCGCGGGGGCACCTGGGCTAGGAGGGGCCGGAAACCCGAGTCTGGGAGGACGGAAGTTCTGCATCGGGACGGCAGGTGTGTGGGGAGAAGTCAGGGTGTCCACACGGGGTGTCCTCAGTGATGGACGGGGCAAACATAGGCATTGGTGGAGAGAGGATAAATCACTCGGGTAAGGCAGCAGCCAGCAGGAGAAGGAAAGCTCGCCCTTCCCCTGCACCTGCTCTCAGGTGTCCCATCCACCCGCGCTGGTGACGGCTGACCCACTGACCCGCCTGAGACCTCCTCCCGCTCCTCGAGGGCTTGAGCTGACCCTGCTCCTTCCTTGCCCCCCTTCTTCTCCTCCTAAGTGTCCAACACCCCACTGCTGCCACACACTCACTCTTCCATTCTGACTTTGCCCCACTCCCCTCTCCGATCTTCACCCCCTACCTGTTTCTTGCCCCACAGCGCCCCCAGAGGACAGGTCATGGAGGTGCAGAGGCTGGGCCGCCTGACCTGAGAGGTAAGGAAGGCCGCCCGCCGCGGGCTGCCTTCTAATGGGCAAACACGAGTGACAGGACCAGGAGAGGAACGGACCCGGTTTTTTCTTTAGTGAGATGTTTAGAGTAAAATGTGTAGAGTTGATTTACCCAAAGCATTAAGGTCCTTAATGGCCTTAGAACTGTCCAAATAGAAAGCAAGGTCAGAACCCTGCTGGGAAAGCTTGTCTACCCCAAGGGGGAGAGGCAGAGACGGGCAGAGAGAGGGAGAAAGAGAGAGCCGGAGAGAGCGCAAATCTGAGAACAGACCAATAGGATTGTTTTTACTGGCATGCACCAGATTCCCAGAGAAGGATCTGGAAGGTCCAGTGGTCAGGAACAACCCTTGCACTAAGGCAGAATCGACCCACGTAAACACCTCCAGTAAACACCTCCAGTCATAGAAGAGTCTATTGTTCCCTTTGTGCCTAGGAGAAAATTTCTTAATTGTTTGTAGAGACTTTCTGTGCCTCTACCTCAGCTGCGTATCATATGTCAGCTAAGCTCTCTCCTTGCCTCATCTCTGAGCACTTGCACAGGAAATGGCTGCAGTGAGCGCTCGGGACTTCAGCGCTGCCGGGAAAGCATCTGTGTTCCTGACCTTGCTCAGCCCTTCACCTGTCCCAGTGAGGACTAACTGCCCCTTCCTCCCTGCCCCTATTCAGAGAGTCCCTTCTTCGACATCTTTGCTTTTTAGGAATGGCTTAAGAGCCATTAAAGATGCTTTCCTTCCCATGAATGTCTCCCATCCGAGTACTGACCAGGTTCGACCCTGCTTAGCTTCCGGCATCAGACACGCTCGGGCTTGTTCAGGGTGGTATGGCGGTAGACCCCTTTCCCTGAAATGTCATGAATGCCAGACAGTATTTCTAGCTCCTAATAATGCCCAACTCTTTCAAGGCGCACCAGATGCTGATGGTAAACCTTGAAAAAACCCTTTCAGCGCCCAAGTAGGGATTTCTCTCTCAGAATGCCCGTTCCAGTTTCTCCCCAAGCCCCGGGGCTTTCTGGGCGAGCTGTTAGATGATCCTCTCCTAAGCCAAACAAGGAAATTCGGTCACCAGCTTGCTCCTCTGTTGGGTATTTTGATTATCTGTTTGCCCCGAAGGCGACTCTTCACAGGTGCTGATCACAACCACCTCCGGCTATGGAGGGAGGGGTGGAGGAAGATGACTCGGCAAGTGGGGTCCTGGAAAGCGCCCAGGTTTGTATTTAGTGTCTCTTCATCTCAATTGTTGAATGTGACCAGATGGAGAATACCACCGGACCTTGCATTCAGGTGTAAAACACCATTAAAATAAAATAAAAAAAAAAGGAACCTAAAGCCTATATAAGAGACCCTTCCCCCTACAACGCTGGCAGTAGCTGGCAGTAGACCCTTCCCACCCTCGGAAGCTCTGTCTCAGCTGCTTCGGGGAGCAATAAACTCTACCTTTGAAACCTTTCTGTCTCCTTATTTCTTCCTTGCGGCCGGCCACTAAAATTGGGACAAAACACCAATTTCCCTGAATGTGCACTGAGAATTCTGGCCAGAGACATCCCTGAATGTATAACCAACAAATCGCACCCCGGCATCTACGATTCAACTGTGGGGGTGGGGAGTGGTCTGGTAAATGAGTCTGGTTCCAACACTGTGCTTTTGAAAAAACGAAAGGACCAAAGAGCAGAAACAGCTCCGTGAGCGGCTCGCTGTCTACTGCCCTGACAGCCACACGAGCTCCCAGCTCAGCACTCGGGCCAGAGAAGCTTCTCTCTTGTTAGAAGCTGTTGGAAGCACAGTTCTTGTTCTCAGGGTGAAGCTGCTCCAAGCCCCCAAGGCCAAAGGCAGGGTCCTCCCGCCCTGGCCTCCGGCTCACAAAGGAGAGTGCGCACGCCCTCTGCCGGACATTCCCGCGCACGGCGGGAGCGGCCCGCTGTCCCTGGGTGGTGACTGCGCGCCCCCTCCTGGCCATTCTGGGAACCACCGCGCAAAGCCACGGCGCTCCTGTGGAGCGAAGCCGTCCGACTTGGGACCCGTCTTCCCTACAGGGTCTGAGAGACTTTGAACTCTTATTTTTTGAGTATCAAACGAAACAGAGAATTAATTTATTTACATAAACTGAATATGCACAGTCTCATCCATGGAGACTACACTTTCCACTGTGCTAAGCAGCAGATAATCTTGTTGATTTACCAGATTCTCTGGGTGAAATAAAACACCCTTTGCATGATTTTTCGTATCTCTCTGTCCTTCACTAAAAAAGGAGAAACGTTTCCCGTCAGTTTAGATGTATGAACTCTGGCGTGCGACCCACCGGCTCCCCGCTAGCGTCCGTCTTATTTGTAAGGTGACCAGTAATGCCCGGTAATGATGCTGACTCACCTCTGACAGGGCCAGATGCAGGCTGGGAGGGAGAGACAGCTGCCCACCCCAAGCTGCTTTCTCAGAGAACAGTGGCAAATGAATGAAATAATTTCTAGGGGTCCTGTCAGGGACCAATTTGATTCTTTCAAATAGTAATTGCCATCTCTTCACAACCAGAGGAAGGTTGGAAAAGGGAGAGAAGTCTGCTTTGCTGCAAGAAGGCTGAGATGTTTTCAACAGCCCACCTACCTCCACGTCACACGTGGTGTTTTGCTAAACGCATTTGAAGGCCCAGGTGATGCTCCGGGGATGTAGGAGCCAGCAGCGGTTAGAGGGTCAGTTTCGTAGGGTCCACGCAGCGCCTGACACCATGTGTGCACTTATCCAGGGTTCTGCAGACGCCCAAGGAGAATCTGACCCGCAGTGAGTCAGCACAGCTGATGCGTGCAGGTGTTCCTGGCAAACACTTGGGGTCGGCTCTGGAGCGCGGCTCACGCGCTCACTCGCAATCCCGTGATGGTGATAGCTCCAGCCCACGACCCCTGCCCTGGGAAGAGCCTTCTGGTACTGCGGTCGGACTCCGTCCGACCTCATCCCAGCAAACTGCCGCTTCTCTATGAAATCAGTTCCCCTCCTGGGAAAATGGCGAGTGCTCTGGGGAGACAGTGTCGGCACCCCATCTCTGTGCTCCTGGCAGCCCCTCGAATCTGGCCAGGGGCCGGTTTTTCTGGAGGGATTTCACTCTGGTGTTAGGTATTTTTTCAGCTTTCACAGATGTGGCGACCTCCAGAATCCCCCACTGAGGGGACTCTTACCCTGTTGTTTGCAACCCAAACTCTCAAAATCTGGGAGCCCTGCAGCAGCAGAGGCTGACCTTGGTTTCCACCAGTGTTTCCTCAGAGTGGCGTTTGTACATTTCGTGTGAATGTGCATGCATCCCAGGGAGTTGCAGAGGGAACTCCTGCGAGGGTGAAGCCCCCTCGCCTCCGGAGGGGCACAGAGGGGGCTGTAGGTGTTTCTTCCACCAGTCCTGCTCCCCCAGGTCCTTCCACCTCAGCTCCTCCAGGCTCCTGGGGCCCCACCTCAGGCCTCCAGGATGGATGGAGGGAGAGAAGGGCCAGGCTGCAGGACCCCTGGGGCAGGGGGAAGGAGTGGGCTGGATAGTGTGTATGGGGTTATTGCTTGGGGAGGGACTCTGGGCCCTTGGGGAAGGCCAGGAGGATTCCTGAGCTCTGGGCAGGATGCGTGGGGTGGGTGCATGCAGAAAGCTGAGTGAGACTCTGAGTAGAAACAGGGGCTGGGAAGCCCAGGAGGGGCAGGGAGAGCCTTGTGGGCCTGCTGGGTCCCGAGGGCACGCCTTTGCCACCCTGGGGTCCAGCTGGGTACCTGAGCCCAGCATGCCTCAGGCCTTGCAGCCACCAGAGGGATCGAGAACTCCAGCTAGCTCTGGGGGAGGGGTGGGCCCCAGTGCAGAATTTAGCACAGTCTCAGCCCCAGGCCGGATGCCCGCCCGGCACAGGGCTAACCCGGGACCCAGGCCAGTGCCTTCTTCCCTCCAACCACAGCCCCGGCCTCTGCCACTCCCCAGCATAGGAGATTGGAGGAAGGAGAGTGGCTGCTCTTTATTCTGGAAGCTGGCTCTCCTGGTGTGCGCCCAATGGGCCTGCCCCCGGGACCCAACTGGCCCAACTCAATGCCCCCTCCTCACCCTCACCCTAGAGTGAAACTGAGGCAGCCTGGGGTTTGGCCGCGGTCAAAGTGGCTTCTGATTGACTGCAGGCTACTTCTGACGGAGCTCTCTTTTCCGAAGTTCGCTCCTTCGGATCTTGCCGGTGATGGTTTTGGGCAACTCTGGGACAAACTCCACCTGGTCAAGGACACGGGGAACCCATTATGGCTTTAGCACCGGTGGCACCCCCCAACCCCCACCCCCGCACCCCTCTTCTGTGGCCGCAGTCACCCAGACAGGCTGGCAGCTCGTTGCAGCCTTCACGGACCCCGTGTGCAGGGTTCTCTTCTGACCCCGTGAACGGGGATGCAGCCCTGCGACCCGGCATGAGAGTGGGAGTGAAGGGGTCACCTCTAACTGAGAGGCTGGGCACCATTGCGACTGGACACTCTCTCTGGTATCTCTTACAGCACCCAGCAGCGCCTTAGCCCTGGTTGCGTGGAGCAGAGTCGCCTAGAGAGCCAAGGTGGACTCTGGACACTGCAGGCCAGCAGCCTGGCCACGTGGCTGGCCTGTTACCCACAATGGCAGCTGGACCTCCCGAGGGGACACACCCCGCCTCTCTGAACACAGCCTCAGATACGCTGGTGCCGGACACACGTGGGCTTAGCTCTGTTAGTGGCTGTTGCTACAGACAGTTCTAGCCTCTGACCTCAGTTTCCTGTCCATACGTGCTTTATGTTAAAAATAAAAGATCTAGCTCATCATTTTAAATGACAGGATAACATCCCATTTTATAAGTGAACCACTTCTCGGTTGTTGGACATTTTTGCAGATTGCAAGTGACATTTAAAGCAAATAAAGGAGAATAAAAATAGAGTGCAGCGCATGCTGTAAGGAGAAATATGCTGTTACTTTTATTTTGTTTGTATATATGTAGGGATTCATTTGCAAAAATAATGTATTTCTTATGTGAATAGTTTTCAAAAAGTTTGGAAGTGCCCAATTTGGATTTCTTTTCCAACGTCTGAAAGATTATCTTAATCTTCTGGGGCACCGGGGCTATTTTTCTGATCTTTTTCTTTAGGTTAATGGCCAGCAATGGATTCCTCCAGACACAGTGAAGCTTCCCTCCCATGGAGTTGGCCCCACCCCTCCCCCAAGCTGAAATGTCTCACCTGCAGAGGAAAAATCCTAATGCTTTTTGCCCTGCTCAGCTTCCTCCCGCCACCCTGTGGGATGGGCTCCCTGGCAACAGCCGGGGAGACAGGGGCCCTGTCTTGCTCACCTTCCTGGGGTACTTGTAGGGGGCGGTCACTGACTTCACGTGTTCCTGCAGCTCCTTGGTCAGCTGGTCTTGGTCACGTGACTTGAACTCCGGGTTCAGGACCACAAAGGCCTTCACCACCTGTGATGCAGAGCAGAGGCTTGGCTTGGGGTGAGCGCCGACTACTGACCCAGATTCAAAACGGGATACTTGTTCCATGATGCAAAGACCAGCTGGCAGCTGAACTTTCAGAACAGGACAGGAACGAGCTCTGATCCCCGATTTTTATTCTTGGCGTTGGAAATTTTTTATTCCCTACCCCAACCCCCTTAATCTCAATATCCTTCTCTGCAAAATGGAGACAATACAGATTCATTGCTGATCAGGTTTATGGGAAAGCTCCACGAGATAATACATAGGAATTATGAAGATAGCTTAAACTTGTCATTATGTCTGTCATCACCAATTTTACTATTGCTCTATTTCAGTTTATGCCTGAACTTTGTGGGCAGTTAATACTGGTTAGTAACTTATCACTTTTATATTTGGATTATTTGGATGCCACTTAATTTCGCAGGGCCTTGTACACAGCAGTGCGCAAGGACACTTTTTAATCAGGCTCTGGGCAGAGTGCTGAGATTCCCTTTTTGCCTCATTGGTATGAGCGCTGTGACCTAGGCAAGTTAGTTAACCTCTTTAAGTTCGTTTTCCTTCCACTAAAAAGGGTATAAGAATAATCCCAAATCACTGGGCTGTGAGGAAAATGAGCTGCATATAATAAGAGTTTATTATATATTAATTGTCACCGTCAGGTCATCTTCAATCCCAGAGGAGGCCACAGTGCCCCCTGGTGACCAAAGCTTGAAAATACACATGCGCACCGCAGTCTCCTCCCTTCTCTGGGAGCAAGGCTGGCAGAAAGCACCTGGAAGCTTCCCTGCACCAGCCTGCCCAGTGCCCACACACAGACGCGGTGGCCTCCTCACCTCTCCTCGTGTTGGGTCCGGGCTGCCCACCACAGCCGACTCGGCCACTGCGGGGTGTTCCGCCAGGGCGTTCTCCACCTCTGCAGGCCCAATGCGGTACCTGCAGACCAAGGGTTGGGTCTCTGGTTCTGACAGGCGCCCAGGGGTGACCCAAACCCCCCAGTCTCATGTTTTAGAGGGCCACATCTTCCCTTGCACTGAGGGGGACTGTGCAATAGGATGCAGGGTGAAGACCCTCCTTGCACCCCAAAATACAAATGCACCCTCAGGAGCTCTGGGGCTGCTCACCCCACTTCCTGTGAGGGAGGGGGCGGATCTTGGTGCTTGCCATGGGGCTGGGGGCGGGACTGGGCTCTGCAGCTCCACCCCGCGGGAAGCCCCTTGGAAGCCTCAAGTTTCATCCTCAAGCGTGCAAAATCTGCCTCTTACTCCTCGTCCTATCTCTCAGCCCTTGTTTTAGAAATTGGAAAATAAAATAAACTTCACTTCCTTGCACTATCCCAGACAACTCCTTTCTGGCCTTCGTTTCTCTGAATCACGGAAGGGCTAGGGAAAACAGCTTCGGAGCCAGGGCGGGGTGCAGACCCCTGCTCCCCGCGCAGCCTTATACCGGAGGAGCCTCTCCTCACCAGCCACTCAGTTTCCTCAGGAGAGCGCCGTGCAGCGACTTGAGTGCGCTTTCCCTACTCGGCTTCCTAAAGAGGACCTGTTACTGCCACTTGCGACCCACAGAGCAGAGCAATCACAGAATAAGTGCCTCCAGCACGCAGGACCGAAGTCGCGTCTCCCTTCCCTGCCGGTCTTGCAAGCTGGCTTACTAGGATTTGCCTTCAAGACCTTCTTGAGCTTCAGATCTCTTGATTCTTTTGGGTGAAGGACTTTGGGGAGGTGTGCAGCTAGCCCCAGCCCAGGACCTCAGACTCGGCCTTGCTGGGAATGAGGCTGAGGGAGGGTACCAGACATGGAGGGGTTCCTCGGGGGCTGGGCTTGGGGTGGAGGGACCTACCCTGAGGCGTTAATGACGTCATCCGCCCTCCCCAGGAACCAGAAGTAGCCCTCTTCATCTATGGTGGCTCTGTCCCCCGTGTTGTAAAAGTCCCCACACTCCACCTCGGCAGTCTTCTCTGGGTCGTTCTGCAAAGACAAGGGCACCCCTTTGTTGAAGAGTTGATGAGCCAGTACCAGAGGGTGCTGGATCCCACTCCTGGCGCCTTTTGAAATCTCTCTGAACCTGTCTTCCTTGCACATCCCGCTCAAGTCGACAGCATTAGGACCATTCAAGAACAACGAACAAACCATAACTCATTTTGCGTGACCTCCGGTAGGCCAAGATCTGGGTAGAACATAAACTGCTTACTGTGCCCACTGGCAGCTGGGGGACACAGGTGTCTGGAAGCTTGGGAGGTGGCCATAAGCAGCCTAGTGCATTTTCCTCCCAATACTCACTAGGAGTCTGCAAGGCTCATAACTTTCAATACAACTTTGTATGTGAGGATAATTGTGGATCTGTATGCAATTAAAATAATGCAGAGATCCGTGTGCCTTCCTCCAGCAATGGGGTGCAGCTTGCAAGACTACAGTTAAGTTTCACAACCTGGTTATCAACATTGACAACATTTTGGACTCTGTGTGTGTGTGAGAGAGAGAGACAGACAGACAGAAAGACAGACAAAGACAGAGGTTAGCACACATCTAGGACTCACCCAAAATCGACATTCAGAAAGTCCCACTGCCACCAGACTCTCCTATTCCTCCTTTGTACCCACCTTCCTCAGTCCCCTCCACCACCCCGCCCCCCCCAGTCCTAAGCTCTTGGCAACGACTTACCTGTTTTGATGATACCATCATTTAAGGATGTGCCATTACTAGAACGTTATATTATGTAACATTTGTAGACTAGAGATTGTCCAGGGTGTTCCGTTCAACACTGTGATCCTGTTTGTTAATGAATAAAGCCTAGCTTGTTTAATCACTCACCCATAGAAGGGCAGCTGGGTCGTTTCCAGTTTTTAGCTATTATAAGCAAAACTATTGTGAACATCTGTGAACAGGCTTTATGTGAAGCTGGCGTTTTATAATCCACTTCACAGAAGAGGAAGCTAATGCTCTGGGAAGCACAGAAGGTTGTTCAAGGTCAATCGCAGGTCATAGGGAGTTACTTCTTGCTCAACAATCCATGCTCTCCACAGTCTATTAGGCCCTTCCCTCATGAAGAACAAGGAATGATGTGAGGAGTTTTCAGAAAAATAAATTTTAGAAACATCAACTCATCGCTCTTTTTGGATTGCCAACAATTGTTTTGAGTGTACCAGGGTGACTATATGACTGTGATGTGTACTTCAAAGCTTTGAAACCGCCACAAGGAAGTTGAGTTTCAAGAGCAGACATTTAGTGAGAACAGGATTGGGTCAGAATTTAAGGACTTTGTTTTGTTTGCATTGTAATTCCCTCCTATTTTGGCAGGTGATACTAAACCAACCATTCTTCAGTTGGGATATTAGACCAACTGTTTGACAAACAAGCCATCTACACAGCTCCTTGGGGCTCCTCAGGGCCTGGAGGGGGAGGATGGGAAGAGGGGGCTGGTGGGAAGAGGGAGCGGTCTTACCTCGTAGCACATGAAGAGGCCTATGGGCTTTGTGGGCTTGATTCTGATGCCGATGTTCCCTTCGGTGTTGGGGGGCAGGACGTTGCCTTTGTTGTCAATGATCTGGAGCAAGAGGCCTATGAATCTCCCCCAGCAGGTACCCCAAGTCCCACCCACCACCCCTGCTTATTCTTGTGACATTAGTGAGGGAACCCGGGGCGGGGGTGGTGGTGGAGAAACCCTGTCAGAAAATGGAATCAGATTATCAAAAGTCTTGGAAAGCTACAAGTGGCTAAAGCCCGAGCCAAAGGTCTCTCTGTCTCATGGACGTACAGACAGACTTGCAAATGTATCTTCAGGCTAAAAAAACCCAGCCAAATCTAAAAGCTGGTGGAGAGAGCCACCACCCCTCCTGCAGGGCTCTGTCTCCATACATGGCGCCTGAGGCCTCGCTGTCAGGGAGCCGCCTTCCCACCACCCCAGGTGGGCTCACCCAGAACCCGGAGGTCAAGCAGCAAGAGGGGAGGAAGGACACAGAGCGGGGACACCGGCCCTCACACCACTCACTGCCCGAGGCCAGCGGGGCCCTAACCGCTCCTGCCAATGCCCATGGGCCAGACCTGCATGTCGAAGGGCTGGATGGCCTTCCCCAGGGAGCTGGGCTTGGACGTCATGCCCCGGAGGTTTCCACAGCTTATTCCCTGTCACAAGAGAGAGGGCTGGAGTTGCCCACAGGATCCAGGCTGGTGGCAGCACAGGCCGCCCCTGCTGTGTCGGACGCGGTTGGTTCCCTCGGACTCCGGGCTCCGGCCTCCACCCCTCTGCTCCTCACTGCTCACATGCGGCCTGACCTGAGCCAGGTCTGGGGCTACAGGGGTCAGTGTGTGTGTGTGGGGGAGTGCTGGAGCTGTGCACATGTAACGTGGGGTGCAGGTACCCTCTGTGTGCCAGGCTCGTACTCATTTGCCAGGGCTGTGAGTCTGCTTCATAAACATTTAGCCGGGATTGTTGAGCAGTGAGGCCGCTGCCCAGTGCCGCTCTTTGGGGTCACACCCTGTGGGGTGTGTGTGTGAGAGAGTGTGTGGTGTGTATAGAACATCTCTGTTCCCTGTTTACTCATGGTGGTGTCCCATAATCCAACTCATGTGCTGTCCTCATAAGCACCCAGAAATGAACTTTTGGGGGCAGCTCCAGCCTGCCATTAGGTCACTGCCCTCAGAAGGGTGGCTCGGAGGTTGCAGGTACCAGAGAGCCAGCGTCTCCTATTCCTGCTGCCCCGATCACAGGGAAGTGGCGGCATCACCACCTCAACCCCCCATAAAGTTTGTCCAAAAGTCTGCACAGCGACCTTTTGATGAGTCAACAAGCTGTGAACTGCCTCTCTGCAAACTGACGTGAGGCACAATCAGCCTAGAACTCTGGATCTTCCCAGCAGCACCTGCCAGCTCCCAGCAGCTCCCGGCAGCTCCCGGCAGCTCCCAGAACACAGCGGGCCCTCTGTGCATCCTGGTGGCCTGGCTCAGCTGCTCCATCGGGCTCCTGGCTGGGCACACCCCGACTGGCCCAGCAGGGACCACCCGCCTACCGTTTCCGACTGTCCGTAGGCCTGGTGGATCAGGATGCCCGTCTGTTGTCTCCATTGTTCTTGCTCCTCAGGCAGCAAAGATTCCCCACCGGTACAGCAGTGCTCCAGCGTGGGGAACCGGAGGCTTTGGGGGTACATGTTTCCGACACAGCTTCAGATCCGAGGACCTGGGTGCTCTGTCCCCACGCCCAGCTCTCTCAGCAGGTGACCTGGTCTATTTACGCTACTACATTTTCTTGCCTTCTGGGTATTTTACTGATGCAGGACCAGTAGACCTCACTCACTTCCTGACACCTCCTGTTAACTCTTCTGGTTAGAACAGGTGACGCTGTTCACAGAAGATTTGGATGTCAAAATCCAAGAGCAGTCAAAGGGTGAAAATGTGCTTATCAGAACTCATCTTAGAGGAATGTTCTATGTGGCCAAGAGGGGTGTTCTCATAAATCATAAAGGGCTGAGGGGTAACCCCCAAGTGAATGGCACTGCCTCCTGTCAAGAGTGGATTAAGTGATCTGAGGGTCTTTATTCTTCCAGCTGGAAGATGCAAGTTAAGGGTAAGAAATGAATTGTTTAGGACTTGAGGCAATTCTGGGTTGAGTTTAGGGAAGGAGAGGGAAAAGGTAAATGGTTACAGCCTGGGAGAGAGAGAAAGAATTCTAGAGAAAACAGAAAAATCTGACATTTCCAGCAGTTAGATAGCTACATCATACAAGTTCTCTCCCCTACAATTTTTCATAAACAATACAAAAATAATTCATATATCATAAAACCATAAAAATAATGATAAATTTCTCAAACAAAGTGGGGAGAGTGGTTGAGGTGTGAATAGTGACTTGCTTGGGCTGGGCTCCAGTTTCACCCTCTCCTGGCACAGCAGAGAGGAGTGATGGATAGGACATTAGTTCTCTTGGGGGAAGTCTTCGTCATTCTTCATCTTTCTTCCAGAGCTGTAGCTAACGGAGCTCACGTAGGTAGACTTTTCCTGCTTAGTCATTTATTACACTCTGATTGGATTTTACTGGGTTTGGACAAAGCCATCATCGGGATTGATGGGGCTCAGGATAAAATCATACTCTGTTTCAGAATTAGCTTCATCAGGACAGTCCTTGAACTTTTTGATAACTTAACCCTACAACTTGTCAGTTTGATTTTTGTAGGCACCTTTTCAAATTTATAATCTCGAAATGATACATAAGTGCCCACACATTTCAAAGAGATTTCAGGCTAGCTAAAATTTTGAACAAATATGGGAGGATGCAAAAATAAAACCATAGCTACAGTTCACATCCATCAGATTGACAAAAATGAAAAGTTCTGACAAATACTGTCAAGGAGGTGAAACAATGGGAATTTTTAATTCTGCTAGTGGGGTACAAAGTGGTTTAAGACTTTAGAAAACAGGATGGTAGGGTGCAACGTCAGTGTGGCCTAGAAACTCCTCTCCTAGAAAAACACTAATGGATGCTGATAGGCACCAGGGTATAAGTACGTGTATTCGAGGCAGTATTAATCGATAGTTCCAAAATGAAATCTACCCAAATAAAGTGGAATACTATACAGTAATGAAAATGTAACCACAGCAATACTTAACAACATGAGCACATCCTAGAAACATAATGTTGAAAAAAGGAGCCAAATATCGCAGAGTAATGTGTGACTACATACATCAAGTTCAAACACAAGTGAAATAGAGTCATCAGTTTAGGAATATTTCCTTCAGAGGAAAACTCTCAGGGAAAGTAAGGAGGTGAACTAAAAGTCAAGACTATGGATTGCTTTAGGAGATGAGAGACCTAGGGGTTTGGCTACGTTTAATTTTTGTGATTTAGGCGAATGCTTATATGGATGCGTTATTTTCAACAACTCACTTATCTTTAAATTTATGTCATAAATTTTTCTGTATGTTTATTGATTCAAAATAAAAATATTTACAAAGATTAAAACCCATAGTGCAAGACTCAGGGTGCTGTTTCCTCATATCTCTGTTTAATGAAATAGCTAGACTGGATGATAATTGTCACCACACTTAAGAACGATTAGATCATGACGCATCAGATTCTTTAACACCTGACTCTGAGATTGCTGCTACCAGCCATAGCTACTTGTGCCATACCTGGGAAAATTCTGCTGTAGAACCATCCGGTACACCCCTGGCGCAGCGAGGCACTGGGTGATGGGATATTTGAAGAATGTCTAGAAAGCGAAAAGTTTCATTTTTAGGTTAAGAGTGAAAGGATTAACCAATTATTAGCACTTTCATTCTGATCTCTCTAGGAGAGCTCGCTTATTTATTTGTTAGTCGCATGGTGAGCTTTGTACATAGCGAGCCTTGGGTACTATGGGGGAGCTCAGAAGTGTAAGATAAGCCCCAGCTCTGGTGCAGAATAGGTGCTCGCTGAGGAGAGAAAACAGGACTCACAGCATAAGGCAGACATTGGTAGATGTCACAAGAGATATTTGAAGACAGTTCTAGAAGAACAAGGCAGAGGGAAATTCCTTGGGACTAGGTGGCCCAGGGAGGCAGTTATTGGAGGCATTCCACACACCAGCTCAGGGCCTACAAGCAGAGCAGTGGGGAAGGTCCTGGAAACCAGAGGACAGCAGGAGCAAGTCTCAGGAGCAGGAGAAACACTTTAAGGATGGAATAAGAAACAAACGGTCCTGGATTTAGTCATGCACAGGAATAAGAAGCTCACGTGAGAGGACTGGGCTTAGGAGAAGCCAGATTAGGTAGGGTCTAGTTGACCATTATTTAGTTAGAGATGGGGGCCTTTCAGTGTCCCTGGTCAGGGTGGAGGGCAAGGGACTTGAAAGGGAAGAGAACGTGAATTTTGGTGTCCGTGGAACTGAATTCAAATGATTTACGTAACTTCTCTGCAATTCTGTTTCCCCATCAGTAAAGTGGGGACATCTACATTTACCACCTAAAACTGAAGCAGACAGTTGCTAAGTCTGTTGCTGGGATCTGCTGCTAGCTGGAGCAGAAAGTCTGTGGTGTGGGGCTAGCCCACAGCAGTAGCCTTGGCTACCTTGGCCCTACGCCTCTTCCTGAACAATAAAGAAAGTCTGTGATGGGTGGCGTGACAAGCTTCCACAGACACACTGTAAAACTTCACCACTCCTGCAATTCGGGGCTCATTCTTTGGGGAGCGATCCCTCTGAGCCCATTTGACAGGTGAACTTCTCTCTCCTCACCTCCCTGAGTGTCGCCTGACTTCTCTGGGAAATTGCCTTTAACAAACTCCATGTGGTGGAGTGGACGCTTTGGAGAAAGCTCTCTCTGCTCTCCGCGCTCTCTTCCGAGCCCAGGTGCATTTATTCTCTCTCCTCCATAGCTCACCATCAAGACCGCTTTGCAAAGTTTTTTTGTTTTCTTTTTTCTTATTTACACATACAGAACTGGGGTACATCAGAGGTGCAGGGGTGGTGAGAGGATTCACCAGAGACAGAGTGGGGAGCAGAACATGCACATCGATGAAGTACACTCCTGAGGGGAGCAGTAGGCGGGTCAGGGAAGTCTGCCACGCCATGTGGGTCACCTACGTGGCGAGAATCGAAAGCGCACTGAAGCGGCTGTGGCGAGCTTTCAATGCTGCGTCCTAACCCGTTGCGCCACCAGGGAGGGCTAGCTTTGCAAAGGTTAAGTCTAGCCTCACCCCGGTGTCCTGCTCTCACCCCAGCCTGAGCTGTATCCCTCCATCCAGGCTTGTAATCCTGCCCTGGGGCAGCGGTGACTTGGGTCACTCTGTCTAGGCTGCCTGTCGTCTGGGAAGGGGCTGCTACCCGGGAGCACTGGCCGCCATGTTGGGCCTGAGCTCGTGAAGAAGCAGCAGCAGGTCATACACAGAAAGGAGCAGAAACGCACAGAGAGCAGAGAGGAAGCTGCCTGGATTCCTGGTGTCTTTCTGGTTCCTGTTCTAGACTCATTACGAGCAGCCTCTCTCCCCTTCTATCGTCACAAGACCAGTGTCCTCTCCCTTCTCATCCTTTTCCGTTAAGCCACTTTGCAGTAGGCTTCTGCCATAGGCACCCATGGGTGCACTCCACACATACATGGGCCAGAAGCAGCAGGGAACATCTTGTCCACACCTGCGTTTGACTGAGCCCTCACCCAGTGCTGGCTCTGGTTAGATTTACCGCGTTGTACTTCATCAGCCTTCTGGGTGCTTCCCATAGGGGTGTCTGTGTGTGTGGGGTGTGTGTGGCGGGGGCTGGGGGCTTGGCTCAGGGGGTTGCCGTGCGGGGTGGACCTGGAAGCAGGGTTTTGCTTTCTGAGTTGGAACAATACATTTTTAGTTAAACATTTTTTGTTTTAGTCACCATCTCCTGTCTTCACTGAGAGGTTGGAATAATAGATACTGCATGATTAAAACTCACCGAAGTAATAAGTAGAAAACAAATCACAGCAATTAAACTTTAAAATGCTGTGGGTTTGGGGGAGGGGGAATTTGTAGAATACTTTGAAATAATTCAAGCTGAAAATACACTAAGATTTTAGGGGCGTCTGGTCATGGAAGGTGGATTCAGGGGGAGGATTCCATCCTCAGCAGGGGAGCAGAGTAGAGAGGAGCAGAGTGGAGAGCCAGCTACCTACCCTGATGCTGGAGGGAATTGAGGGGAATTAGCCTGGTGAGAGGACGAGAGCCAAGGTCTAGCTTTAAGATCCTCTGGCTGGAGACATGGAAGCGAAGGAGGCTGCTGAGGAGGACGTGAAAGATGAGGGCAGATGCTTGGAGGACTGTGAGGTCAGCTGGGTCAAGTGGCCAAGGGAGGGGAGAAGGTTCAGTGGCGAAGTTGGATATTAAGGTAGGAAAGTGGGGGGGGAGGGTCCAATGTGCACTAGGGTAAAGGGGGGTCTTTCAAAGATGTGAGACTTTGGACGTGTATGGGCGGAGGGAGCAAAGTCAATGCAAAGTAGAGATTGAAAAGGCAAAGCAAAGTTTTCACAAATTAAAGATTAATGGAGAGGAATAGCTAACGGGGGGGAGGGGAGCAAAGTAACAGGGGTTGTGAAAGAGGGACTTAGATTTTGTGGGGGGAGGGGGTGGAAGGTGGTGAGGAGGAGGAGGGAAGAGGGAGGACATGCAGGGAAGGAGCCCACGGAGGGACTTCGATTATCACCCAATGTACCCATGACAACAGCCACTGCTGCCTTTTGGGGAGCATTGTCCCTGTGCCAGCCTGCATCCCCCCATCCATACACCCAGCCATTTTGAGAGAGTAATTATGGAAATGCCCATTTCACAGATAAGGAAACTGAGGCTCAGTTTAGTACGTAAACTGCTAATAAATGTGCAAAGTGGAATGAGAGACGTGATGCGTCTTACAGAGCCGGATCCAGCAACCAGGGTCAGGAGCTTGTTCTGGTTTGCTTTCATATCTCAAAATGTGTATTCTGGGCCTTGAGCCCACACAGTTCAATCCATGGGTCTGGGGAATCTAAGCCTTTTCTTCAAGGTTGCATCTTGGTGTGAGTCGATGCAATGACTCATATACTCTGAGAAAAACTGCGAGCTGGTGTTAGATTATGCTCATGGGCTCTTTGCTAAGTAAAATCTTTCCCACAGAGCCCAGTTTTTAAGCTTAAAACATGAGTTTTCTTGTGATGGTGGATGATACTGAATTCTTACCTCTACAATGACTTTGGGCTCAAACTGAGACAGCTGGTGAATGAAGAGTGTAGACCCTGATGTCCATGGCTCAGTCAAGCACCCCAAAACAGCCAGAATCCAGCCTGGGTCTGACAGACACCAGAAGACATCAGTCGTCTTCAGCTGCAGTAATTTCCTGCTAACTCCAAAATACGACAGCTCAGCTGAGTGTTCCTGGGATGCTTTGGGTTGGGGGTTGTGACCCACCCGGTACTCCATTCATGTGATTTGTGTGGCCTCCAGACCTCTTCCCACCCAGGTTCCCAAAGAACGTCAAACCATAGTGCCTGGTCACGTGTGACTTCAACTGGTTCGATCATAATGAAACTTTAGATGTGGAATGCTGAGTCCACATCTGTTATTCTTTCCCTGGATTTGAATCTGATATCTGGTGACACCAGCAGTCATTTTTGAATAATAAGGGATGAGGTTTTCTCAGAACATCAAAACCTAACAGTATCCGAGCCGATAGATGGAGAGATAAAAACCTAATTCAGAGATTAACCAAATATGACTACAGGCTGTTTCATGATCCAATCCATTCCCATGATCCAGTCCATTCCCTTATTCAGTGTTTGGCTGAAAGAGGTTTAGCTTGGGCTTTCTGTCATTTGAAATGGAGGGAGACAGGAAGAGAGAGAGAACTAATTAATACCTCACATTGGGAAAGGACTGGAAACAATGATACCCCAAAGGAAAGTTGCATTCACTAATGGAACTTTATTTTTCTACCTTATTCTTTCTGCTTCTGAGGGACCTCTCTATGCATAACTTCTTGAGAAATCACAATTCTCCATGAGCAGGCTAAGGCTTTGTGGAGATTTGCTTGGTAGGGAGGGTTTTGATGAGACACCCATATTTTCTCATCCCTTTCCTGATGACTGGGGCACACCCATGAGAAATTTCTAGCTGGGGCATCTCTCTAGCTAGTAATTGGCCCCAACCACCTGCTGGGTGTCCTGCCTGGGGTATCTCTCAGGCATCTCATGCCCAGCAGATGCCAGCCCCTTTTGCCTCTCTTGGACTGAGACTTCAAGGAGACTGAGTCTCTTCTAGAGTTCTCTGTATTTCGGTGAATGTCAACACTCTCTGAAACCATCTAACCCCCAAACCTGGTGGTCAACCTTCTCTCCTACACTAGACATTGGTCCTGTCCACCTCTTAAAATCTCAACTGTGCTAATGCCCTTCTTGTGTCTGGCACCCTGTTTCAGCCACTTTCTTTGTTCCGACATTATTCTAAAACCCTCTAACTGGTCTTTCTAACCCCTTTTCCTCCTCATCACCCCACCTCTCTCCACCCTGCCTCCAAGATGATCTTTTCAAAATACAAATGTGATCCGTTCTCTCCAAGCTGAGAACCTTTCAAAATCTCCAGAGTGTTGTCTTAATCAATTCTAAATTCTACACCAGTGATGACCCTCATGATCTGAGCTCTGCTCATTTCTGGTCTCCCGCCTCTGATACCAACTATTGTCAATCTCTGAGTTCTGCCTGCCAGATCTTTGCTCCTTTGCATTATTTCTGGCTGCCAAAAAAGCCCTCCCCTACTCCCCACCCCATTCATGGGGGGCTTGGCTCCTCAACTGTGACCATCAGGGCAGATACACAGATACACGCTGTCTACAAAGAGCCTTCTCTGCAAACTTGTCTGGTTAACAAATTGCAAAACACCTGGAAATTGGCCAGGTGTGAATGTGGCCAGCTGGGGGAGGGGGAGATGAAGAAGAGGTTTGGTTTAAAATTGATTAAATGATTAACCTAAGGTTTTGGCCTCCGTGACTGTTTGTGCTAGCTTGGTTTAGTGGTTTGTGTGAGTTGGTTTCAGGTGTCACTTTCTCTAACTCCTACGACTGGGAAACTCCACATCTGATTTCCCTCTAAGGGGGAGAAGAGAGGCTCGTTCACCTTGGCTCCCATTGCTAGAATCCTTTCTCTTTCATTCACCAAACCCTGGAGTCATGGACTGCACCAGAAGGCTTTGTGTGGCTTGTAGATGCTTGCTGATGCCACCCACACTTCCTTCACACCCCAAAGTGCCTCCACTGTTATGCATTCAGAGGTTTCTGTAGGCAAAGAATTAGGGTTCCCAGCTTTTACCTCTCAGACCCTTAGCAGTATGAACCAAAAAGAGCAGAAAGGAGGAACAGGATGGAGTCCATACTCTTCAGGGCGCCACTGCACACGCACAGGAGCGTCCCCCCTCAACCCTGTGCATACATCCCCTTCCACTTTTCCCCAGACTGTGACCCAGCCTCTAAGTCAGATTCCTCTTTCCTACCTAGAAGGGAAGGAGGATCGTAAAGCGAGTCCATGGCTGTGCTTCGCCATCTTCGGGTAGCCCGTGGTCCCGCTGGTGAAGAAGATGACCATTGGGTCCGACGTCTTTGACTTAATACAGGTGTGATCAGGGGACGCGGACCTGAAAATGTTTATTACAAAGGACTTGATTTACCCATCAAAAGAAACATGTTTATTACAAAGGACTTGATTTACCCATCAAAAGAAACAACGTGAGGTTTGGGGTCAGAGAAGTGGTGGTTAGCAGCCCTGGAGGAAAGACTGCACCTCCTGGGGAAGAGTTCCTAAGAGAGGTGCATAAGTAGACATAAATAGACCCACATTTCTTCATTTGAAAAAAAATGGGGGAAATACACAAAGGATGGTTTAAATATAACCAGCACTGAGATACCACTTTCTATGACTGACAACGAAGAATGCATTCAGTCTCCAGCCTGAGATGTTAGTGCTGCTCTTACCATGCCCATGAGGTGGATGAGAATCTGAGGCTTAGAGAGGTTGGGGAACTTGCCTGAAGACATCAGGCAGGAAGGAACCGAGGAGGCTTGGAACCAGATGCTCTTACATAGACTGTGCATGGCTCGCTTATACAAATGAGCTTTACAGCAATTTAACTCTGTAACATCGGTGATGAAGTGTCGGAAAGAGAACAAGGAAGAATGGGGTGAGTGACACAGGTACATCGGCCTCATGGGAGCTTGAGATGGCAGGTAGAACCTGCAGAACGCTCAGTCTGCGGCATTTCTAGGGAGCTTCTTTTAGATCATGATTTAGAGCCGTTCTGATTATAAATGCAGACTGCTCACAGCGTTCAATCAAAGGAACTGAGAAAATTTCCAATGCTGGAGGAAACATTAGCTCTTATGGTCTTCAGAGACCACACCAGTGCTGGCAATGGAAGAGTTTTATAAAATGTTCTTTATTTCAGTTATTTTCATTTTATTCTCTGGTTTTTGAATCTAGCACAAGATGTGACTTTGTTGTAATGCTGGCCTATGCGGCTGGAGTAACACAAGTTTAAAAACTGAAGTGCAATTTCAAGAAAACCAGCCTCGCACAGTTGATGTGTGACATGAGAAATGCCTGAAGGTTTTCTGAATCAGAGCTTTGGAGATGGATGATGTCTGTCATAGTTCCGCTGCTTCTCTTCCATTTCCTGAAGGTGTTTCCAAAGGCACCCAGCACCTGGACCCAGAAAGTGTTCGCTCCCTAAGCTACCTGTGACACAGACTCAAATTTCACCTTAAAAATTCACTTTGCTCTTTCCCTCACCTTCTTCATATACTTATTTTTGATAGAAAAACAGTATTTCAAATCCTCTGTCCAAAAGGAAGATACAACACAAGAACCCTCTGATTTTTCCACATCTCCTTTGTACAATCCAGAGGTGATTGTATTTTCATGAGGGAAGAAATTCCATTTTCTCATCTTACAGATACAGCAGTCACAGCTAGAGAGGGGCAGGAACTAACCAGGGGTCAGGCAGCAAGTCTGTGACAGGTCTGGGAAGAGAAGTTTCTAGTGTGAGACCTGGGGAGTTCCCTACCTTTCCTGTCTGTCTCCAAGCTCTTGGAGGTAGCTAACTTTCCCTCCACATTTCTCAGTGAGCACATGCATCATACTACAAACTCACTTCAACATTGACCGGAAGTCCAGCCACCCTTCACGGCTGTGGTCGGACACCAGGAGCTTGGTTTTCAGGTTGGGGCACTTGGAAGCCACCGAGTCTACCTCAGGAGCGAGGGCATCTGTCGTCACTATGCTCTGGGCTTTAGACACTTGGAGTCGGTAGAGAATGTCCTTGGCCTTCAACTGGGTAGTTCCTGGCATGAAGATGATTCCTGGGAAGGAGAAGGAACTGGTGGTTTTGTTTTTCTTTCACAGACATGAGTTTCAGGCCTGACTTCTGTGCCCAGAAATCCTCTAGCAGCTTGCGAATGTGGTCCACAGCCTTACCAGCCCCACCTGGGACACAGGCACACCCCACTGCAAACTTGCCCATTTGGAATCTGCATTTTTTTTTTAAGATGCAGGTTTTTTTTTTTTAAAGATTTATTTATTTATGCATACAGAACTGGGGTACAGGCCAGAGGTGTGGGGGCGGTGAGAGGCTTCACTTGAGAAAGAGTGGGGAGTAGAAGAGACAGATTGACCAAGTACACTGCTGAGGGGAGCAGCGGGCGGCTCAGGAGAGGTCTGCCGCGCCATGTGGTCACTTCCGGGACAGGCAGGGATCGAACTCATGCGGAAGTGGCTTTAGCTTCTTAGTGCTGTGCTTTTAACCTGCTGTGCCACCAGGGAGGGCCCAAAATCTGCATTTTAGCAAGGTCCCCAAGCCACCCTTCTGCATATTAAATTTTGTAAACGCTGCTAGAACCTTTTGCACCCTAGTGGATTTTGCCAGTGAGCAAGGTGGGTGCTACTTTATGCAACTGACATGGAGTCTGGAAACAGATGCAGGTGCCAACTGAACAGTGTCTCTGTCATCAGAACTGGCTGCCTCTCTGCCCTCATCTTTCTCCCTCCATATCTCTCAATTTTTATCTTGAATCTTTTCTCTTTCCTTCACTCCTCACATGCAAATTTACTTACACTCCTTTGAACTCTCCTACTTTTTCTTCCATCTACCAACAAGAATGTTTAGTCAAAGCCTTTCTGTGCTCCCACTGGTATATTTTTTTAAGATTTATTTTATTTATTTATGCACAGGGGAAAGAGAGCTTTACAAAGGTGCAGATCACCTTACTAAAGTGATAGATTAATGCAACATATTGGGACAACCCAACGTTATATCCTTCCTGATGGATGTACTCAGAAAGACAACTTCTACACATTACCTGGCTTAGACTCCTCAAAAAATATCACTGTCATGTATAAACCGCTAGGGAATCCTTTCAGATTAAAAGAACTGAGGAGACAAGAAAATTTGATATATACTGCTTGGTTGGATTTTTGGTTTTAAGGAAAAACTACAGTATATGAAGAACATAATGGGGCAATTGAGAATTTTGACTATGGTTGTATGTCAGGCATCTACACTGTATGAGTAGTAGATTTCTTATGTGATAACCCTACCATGGTTAGGACCTCAGAGGTATACATCAGTGTTCATGGATGTTTATCTGGTATTTATGGGGGTCATAGTTTCTCACTGAATTCCTAGATTGTGGCACTGGGAGGAGTGAGCCAGAAGGACACCTTTTGGACAGACACTCTCAGAGGGGAGTAGGATTGGTTATTCCTTGGACGGTCGGGCCTAGGGCAGACTTAAACATGGTTCACACTGAAGATACTCATGATGCATTGAGCAGGAGGTAAATGGAAAAGGAAGCTGTGGATTGTGGTCTGGAGAAGGGGACATGGGAGTAGGCTGTCAACAGAAGTCCTGGGGAGGGGTAAGGGAGGCTGTCTAGAGGCACGATTCCTTGAAAGGGAACAGTGTGGTTGGAACTGGAAGGGAGTATGCTAAATGACGTAAGTCAGAAGGAAAAAAGACAAACACCAGGTGATTTCACCCACATGTGAATATAGAAAAAACAAAGGATCTGACACAATGAAACCAAAGCAAAGCCTGGAAATAGGACTGTTTATGGTAAAGGACGAGGTGATTTGGGATTGGGTGTGGGTGGTGTCATACATCTGAAGAGGTGTGAGTTTATTTCTTTCAATCATATACAGTGTTGTAAATCAATGCTATTCAATAATAAATAAATATAAGTAAACAAAAAAAATGGGGGGATGGTTCCTACTTTGAATGTTGTTAAGAATTTGAAGGCGCTTATGTTCAGGTTCTTACCAAGTATTCAATAAAAAGTAGCATTATTTATATGTATATAATTTGAGTCTAATAAATACATATAATTGGAGTCTAATAAAGGGCAAGATTATATAAGAGAAAGAAGTTTCAGGAAGAGAAAACACCTAATAGTCAGGCCCAGTCGGCTCTAGGCCACCTGTACGGGCTGCCAGGTTGTTTGAGTCACTGACCTGATCGGATGCAGCCTATGGTCACCAACCACCACTCAGGTATTCGAGGCAGAATCAGAGCGAGGCGGTCTCCCGGCTGCAGGCCACAGCTCTGTGTCAGCATGTTGGCTGTACGGCGGCTTAACTCTGACATCTCTGTGAAGCTCCACTTCACTTCATCTCCTTGGTTATTCACCCACCACAGGGCTGGGGATGGGCCTCTCTTGCCCTCCTGGTGAAGAGTATATGCCATGTATCACTTCTGTGTCAAAGGAAAAGGGCACTTTTGGGGCAAATACAAGTCATATTCTGTTGTAAGCACTGTTTAAGGACCCCAGCCTTACTTCAAAGCATCGGTAGAGAAAAAAGAATTTGGGGGATGGGTGTGATTAAGCAGTTTCTTCTGACCTATAGTCACCTCCTCTCAAGTCACGTGAAATCATGACTAGACTTCATGTTGCCTACAGAAAACTTAAAACTCCATTCTGCTATGTGTTACTCTTTGCGCTATATTACAGTGGGTTTCTTTTTGAGGATGTACCTTAGTTTTCTCATCTATAAGATGGGCACAATAATATTGCTTAGAAGAGAGTCAAAGTTCAATAAATCACTTAGTAATTCATTAGCCAAGTATATGTGATATACTTGGCACATAGTAAGTGCTCAATAAATATTATTATCACTGTTGTTGCAAAAATTCAAGCAGGCTAATTCAATTCTTGAACATTTGGGAGAATTTAGGTTTTAAATTAAGATAGTTCTAGAGGTGAAATTAGCAAGAAGGTAGACCAAGAAACTCTAGGTCCTCATTCCCCTGACAAAAGAGAAACTAAACAAGAACAGACTGAAATATTTTTGTGGGAGTTCTAAAAACTGTCAGGGATTTGCAGCAATATACAAATGTCCAAACAATAAAAGTTCATATTCAGAATGACAAGAAATTTGGTGATGTTTTTGTCATTCTCACGTCCTCTCTTCTGGGTATGGTATGGCTCTCATGTCCTCTTTTCTAGGTATGGTATGGCATGGTCGGGAAGAAGTCACCTAACTTCCAGCTCTACTCCTCTTGGGATAAAAGGAAGGAGTGGACCTTATTAGCAATTTCCGGCTGCTTTGAATAACTGGTTTCTGTTCTCACATGACTTGAAGCTCAGATAGGAATGGAAGTGTAGTTTAAATATACATTGAATATTTGTCTCTGGAAGTAGTGCCACGTGTTAGGAGCTTGCCAAGTCTCAGATGAATGAATGAGTGAATGCTGATCAAAGAGGCAGAATAAATGAGCTTGGGCATAATATTACCTCTTATAAATACATTTAGGAAGTTGCTCCAGGAATCAATCTACAGAGACAAGTAACCTCCAGGGACCACAGGAACTTATTTTTTGGACATATCCTAAGACACCTCCACTTATAACAGAGAGTCCAGTCGGAGTCTCCATCCTTATAGAAGGATGGAGACATAACTTAGCTCTAAATGTCAGACACTCAGGTGTGCAATCTGGTTCCCTTCGTCTTGCATGTAACCTGAAGTCAAGCCCAAGCATGATGAGAATTTCCACTGACCAGTCATCAGCTGAAAGTAAGAATCAGACTAACATTAACTTGTTAACTTAGTGATTAGAACTTTGTACTTGGTCACAACTGTGGAGCAACTGACTGTGTAACAGCCACTTTCACCTGCTATCTTGTTTTTAAAATGAGATATTTCACAGATGAAACCACCAACTCTCAGAGAAGTGGTGAAATAGCTATGTGGAGAACTGAACCCCCAGACATCAATTCCCTCCCTAGCACTGGTCAGTCGAGGCAGAAGTGCCCTTGGCTTTATGCTCTCTGGGTTGCTAAGAGCAAGATAAGGCCAGGGAGGCCCACACTTTATCTCACCACCCTGTCTCCCCACTCCCACCCAGCCCCACTCAGGAGGCTTCTCACCCTCTCCATTTGGGTCCAGTAGTCCAATATATCACTTGCAAAGTTAAATTCCTTGGGCCTATCATGATCATTCCATCTTGGGGCTCCGACTTCTGATAAAGATCGGCATCGCATGTATTGAGGCACAGAATAAAAGCCATGGAAGGATTTGTGGATGCCCCGGAATCTCATCAGCCACTGCATGGTGGGGCAGTCCTCAGGTAACAGGCACAGAATTCTCAGGTCACCACCTGTCATGGAAAGACGTGGCTTGTAGGTTGATCATGGAGCAAATTTTTCCTCTATAAAATGAAGGCACATTCCCAGTTAATTGCTACAGTGATACCTTTGTTTCAGCTCACGGAAACTTGGAAGACATAACTGATATAGGTGGGAATATCTTTTCCCAGCTTCAAAACCCCAGATCAAAAAACCATGGGGAGGGGCTGTCACTGCTAGACAAGGTTGGTACCCCAGGAGGGACTTCCCACTCAACCCTGCAATGTAGGCTGATGGCAGCCATGTTGCTGTCCCTTTGTTGCAGAAACTCACCATTTTGAAGGACAGCCCCATGCTATTCTTACTCTGGGGAACACTCTTTCCATGAACCCAGCTGTCTGGTTCTTTTGGAAGTTATCATGTTTTTGCATGATTCCCCCCACCCCCACCCCAAAGTTGATTGGGCCAGGGTTAGCAGTCATTTTTATGGATTGAAAATCCAAACTGGAGAAAACATGATCCCTCTTCAAATTGTGTGTGTGTGTGTGTGTGTGTGTGTGTGTGTGTGTGTGTGTGTGTGTGAGAGAGAGAGAGAGAGAGAGAGAGATTGCTTGCTACCTGTGCTTGCATAAAACACTCATTCCCTGTTGGAACTTTGAAATGTGCACTTTGGGAACTCCTTGTAGTTATGGTTCCTGTCATGAACAGGCAGCTCAACATGAGAAGAAAATCACCTCAGCGTCATGGGAATGCGGAAATTCAGAGGAATTCAGGTTGTTGTGTATTTGTTCTCAAGGTCCACTTTCACCTCTACCCACCCTTTTGTTAACGTCTTATCCTGGATTCTATAAACAAACACATTTTTCTTTGCCACAGATTGGGTTTCTGTCACTTGACACCATAAGCATATTGACACGTGTACACCACCACAGTCACGACAGACGAGGTTGTATTATAGCATCTTCCTGCTGGACCTGGAGCTAGCCCGGGGGTCTTTGCTGGGACAACCAATCCATCAGAGCTGGCACATGATATAAACCTTCTTTGCCTCTTTAGGCCCTGACAGATGTCCCTACGTGGACATCTCGTTTATGAGGACCCATCTTGAAGTTTAATTGTGATTGTTGATTTAAGCTAATCCTGAGAATGTTAACCAGAGAAAGTTACTTTGCAAATAACTTTGAGATCCAAACACTTTATCCTTGTAGACAATTGAGTCTCCTCCCCTTGGTTTCCAAATAAAATAATATTGTTTGACAATGACCCACTGAATCAGTCAGACTTGAGTCAATTTCCTTCAGGCTATCACCCTCTATCCCCATGAGTTCAGCTGCTGTACACCCAGTAGGGGAGGCAAGCTGAAGTCACAGCAGGCCACTATCTGCAGAAAAGAGGAGAGCGACGTGGACAGTTCATTCCCTAGAGTTTCCTTGTCCTCATGAATCCTGGGCTCGCACATGTCCCCTTTCTTTTTCATGTCAGTCAGTCAACAGAACCATCTCCATCTTTTGTTTTATCAGAGCACTTCTGGATGAGAAAGATCTTACAAAGCTCCTGAACCTGGACTTAGTCCTCAGACATCCTCCCTGTATCCCTCAACCTTTGGAGGAAAAATTTGAATTGCCAACACGGAAAATTTGTGGGGTATTTCATTGAAAAGTCTGGAATTGGAGGTTTCTTTGGACAACTTAAAAGGTCTGTCAATATTGCTGACAGCTTTTATTTAACTGGCAACAACTGGCTGGAATGAGAATGATTTGCCTTATTATTATGGAATGTTCTGACACTCCCTATTTTGTCACAAATACTTCTCTATTTACTCTGTTAACCCCTGTGGACATTTGAGCTTAAAATTGCTGGCCTAGGCCAATACCACAAGAAGGAGAGGGACTTTCTCAAAGTCACCTGGCAAGTTTGGTAGCTGGTTTGAGAAAGCTGCTTTCCCTGATACATTTGTCTACCTCCCTCCACAGGCAAGAGCTGGTTTAGAACAAGATTATCAGACTCAGTTGCTATTTTTTTTATATATAAATGCCCTCAGCATCATCCTTCATATACTCAAGGATACTGTAAAGAACCCTTTTCATGAGTCATTAAAGACCAAAACAAAAGGGAGAGAAATGAAGAATTTAGTTACTTAATGAATATATTATGGGATAAATGAGATCCCCTTAAAATCTGTGTGTTGAAGCCCTAACTCCTATTGCCTCAGAAGGCAACTGTATATGGAGTTAAAGGCTCTTTTAACAAGGTGATCAAGGTAGAATGAAATCATTAGAAGGATCCTAATCCAGTATGTCTGGTGTCCTCCTAAGAAGAGATTAGGACTCAGACACTTACTGACAGAGAATGCCACATGGACAGTCACCTGCAGGCCAAGAAGCCAGGCCTCAGAAGAAACCGACCTGCCAACACTTTGATCTTGGACTTTTTCACCAAAAGAGTGAGAATACATTTCTGTTGCCCCGCCCTGGTCTGTGGCAATTTGTTATGGTAACCCTATCAACTAACACACCTCTCTCAGTTAAACAAGAAAGGAATCGCTCTGGCATCAACCATCTATGAGGTATTTTTGCAATTCTAATAAATCTTTATCACATGAGAATGTCTGACACAGTCTCCAGATGAGGAAGAATTGTGGTAGCTGAGAGTTGCTGTTGGAGTCAAACAGCAGAGGTTCAAATTCCAGCCCTTCACTCATTACCTATGCCATGCTGGGGAATTTTCTCATTCTTTCTTCAGAATGTGGAAATATTGGCAGGACCTCCTTCCTAGAGTTGTGGGGATGGATGAATACCATAGAGAGAATGAAGCACATGCTAGCATAGCTAAACTCCCCCTAAATGGGAGCTGTTGTTAGCTCACTCCCTCTCTGGGAAAACTCTCATTGAATAATCAGGTCTTATGGTTATTAAACAAAAGACTTCTGGAATTAGAGTCTAAAGAGAAAGGATGGGAATAGTCTTAAACGTGGATACCACAAGGCCCAGCCTCTGTATTGATAAATAAGAAACCGATCTTAGGGTGTTAAGAAGACTAAATCTCAGGGAGCCCTGTGTGTCTATTTCTATCTCTAGCTATATGTGTATCTGTCTTTATGTCTACATGTCAATCTTTATAACTATACCAATGCACAGCCCTTTATTTTTAAGTTTATATCTATAACCATGCCTTCATCTACATCTGTACTTTTATCTAGAACTATATTGATAAGTATATCTAACATTAACATATTGGTATTGATATTTATAACTACAGTTGACCCTTGAACAACATGGAGGTTGGGGAGGCTGATCCCCTCATAGTTGAAACTCTACATGTAGCTTTTGATTTGCCCCAAAAGTTAACTATTAATAACCTGCTGTTGACCAGAAGACTTACTCATAACAAAAACCATGATTAACACTTATTTTATCTTGTATTCTTACAATAAAGTAAGCAAGAGAAAAGAAAATTGTTATTCAGAAAATCTTAAAAGAAATTACATTTATGGTCCTCCCTGGTGGCACAATAGGTTAGGATGCAGCACTGTGAAGCTAGCTGCAGCCACTTCAGTGCAAGTTCAATCCCTGGCCCTGAGGTCACGACCTACGTGGTGCAGCAGACCTCTTCTGTCTCGCCCACTCTCCCCTCAGCAGTGTACTTTATCAATCTGCCTGTTCTGCTCCCCCTCTGTCTCTGGTGAATCCTCTCACCACCCCTGCACCTCTGGCTGTACCCCAGTTCTGTGTGCATAAATAAATAAATCTCAAAAAAAATACATTTATGTATAAGTGGACCCTCATGACATCTAACATATAAACAACACTCAAAAAAGTCTTAGAAGCTTTTCTTTTTGTCATAATAAGAAAAATGGGTGATGAAAATCAGGGACAGAGAAGCCAGTATGTCTACACAATTCTGAATTATAGAAAAACATGTATTTTATTGAAAGAATATTTATTATGGATCTTCTTGTGCCTCACATGAATGTAGATGCCATGAGAGATTAATTAGACTGTAAGAGTTCCTACTCTCTTGGAATTTAGAAGCTAAAGAAACTTATGAAATAGTTTTAAGCAACACATTATTTGAAGTACTTAAATTTGTCATGTGAAATCAGTTTGGCATTGTGACTTTGAGAGGAAGCTCAGTTCACACTGCATGGCCTGGAAATAGTGTAGTGGAGAGTTATTACAAAGAGCTTTAATTTCATAAGACATGGACCGAAAATCTTTACGAGGCAACACACTGAACGTGTTTTAGGGACTTGTGGAGTTAAAGAGCTCAACTCCACTGCCTATCAGCTGGGTGATATTAGTGACTGTTTTTGTCTCTGAACTTGGGGAAATGATAACAATGCTTACCTCACCGCCCCTCCACCCCGGCCCCGGCAACCAGCAAGGACTTGAAAGATACTCTAGGAAAATCCCTTTACCTAAATGAGGGCTCAATAAATGTTGAGTTGCTCTCCAACACCCAGCAAATTTGAAGCCAAAATTTCCCTGTTAGAGATTTTGAATAAAGTTTTCTTGAAAGGCATTTACTTCACAGTATGTGAACCAATGTCTTTATGGTGGAATTTTCTTTCAAGTGCTTTCTTTTGAGACTCTTTTTCTCCCTTCTGCACCCTCCTCCCACGACCCACCACATCAGAGCTGCTTAGCATTAAATTAATTATCTTTATGTGTTAGATGCTGAGCTAGGATTATCACATGTATCCCTCTCATTCCATAGCACTCATTCTGCAGTTAAGGAGATGAAATGTCAGAGAAGTGAAATAACTTATCCATGCTCTGCTGCCCTGCAAGTGCATATTGCCAGAACTGAGCATTTGGCCTTCAGCTTTTAAGTCCAGAAATCTGTATATACACTACGACTCTGCCTAACACACACACACACACACACACACACACACACACACACACACACACACACCTTTCCCCCAAAGAAGGTGTCCTTGACCTTCATCTTACCTGGTTCTGTCTAGAAAGCAATTGGGCTTC